CCAAACACTCCAAATTATGTTTCTGCTCCTTGAAGGAGCAGAAGCAGTTTTAAGAATCAGATCCAAACACCCTAGATTAGATGTTATGGGATGATTCTTCCCGCTCAGGCCTCTGATTCATCCACAAATGGAAATCAAGATGGGCCAATACCTAACATACAACATACTCAACATTGCACTCAAAAGCTCTATTATGTATTTTTATGTCTGATTTATGTATTATGTTTGTGCGAATCCGCCAGTTGAATGGATCTTTGAAATTTCGTCCGCCGTGGTTGAATTTGAGTCTTATTGTTATTGAATCTGCTTGGAGATATCATTTTCTACTACTCTCCGACCATGTTTCTCGCATAAGCTTCAGATTTTGGTTTATATCTTACATCTTCAGCCTTAGTTTCCATTTTTTGCGTAGTTATAGCCTATCGTCTATCAACTTTCACATTATCACATACAAAGTACCGTTTTCTTGTAAAACTATCAATTAGGGCCTTGAATATTTTTTTTATGTATTATTTCATATTTCAACATATTTACTTAATATAGTAAATTTATTTTCTTGGATTTCACATGTAGTAATTTTGGAATCCATTTGGTTCTGTTTTTAGTAAACACATGATTACATGAACCGTACTCTAAAATTAATTATTCACTTGGAGACAAAATATAATAGGGGGGATTTGACTTCACACCCCACTTTTTGGGTGATATTAGACTTTGCACCTCATTTTCAAAAAACTTTTACTTTGGAGTGCAAAATTAAAGGAATTTTAAGTAAAATGGGGTGCAAAACCGAAGTTTTTTCAAAATGAGGTGCAAAGTCCAATATGAGCCAAAAAGTGGGGTACAAGGTCAAATATTTACAGAACACTTCAATTTGTATTCCAAAAAAAAAACTCAAATTGGACTACCTATTTAACCTTTGAAGATTCTAAGTTCTTTGAGTACACCTCATACAAAAATATACCTCTTCTCTGAAACAATATATTTTTCCACTGCGCAATTGCTTAGAACCCAAACCCTAAAACCCTTGTGCAGTTTGAGCTTCAAGCCTTCAACACCCAAATCTACAATCATCTTTTTCCACATGTATGATGAGAGTAAGTGTTACCTCACATGTTTGTTGGAAGCACATAATGAAATGAAATGAGAGCATTAGCCATCCATTTTATAGATGAAAATCGATTGCATGTTAATCGTACAATGTATAATTGGAATACACGAATTGTACTTATGAATTGACATTTTAAATATTTAAATTTAAGCATTTAATGGTCTCATAAAATGTATTGATAGATAATTGTATCAAATATAAATAGTACCGTTTAACTCCATCTTTTGCCTATCAGTCCAAAACTTGTTTTCGCATATTTGCACGTTAAATAATACTTTAATACTCTCTCCCATCAGTGGCGGAAGGAAAACAACTTAGCAGGCAATAAAGTTCCCGTGCTGCGCAATGAATGCTTTTTATAAGACATGTACTATTTTGAAGACCAAGCTTTGACCTGGATGTAAAACATATAGCTGACCCGTATCTTTTGAAGGGAATTGGCCAAACTTTCCACCTTGGTTTGTATATAGTAAGATATGAAGTACTCCACACTTCTTATTAGGCATTTTGAAACCCACTTGCTGGATTGGCCACCCACAAGCTTCTTCACGATACTCTCATCCACATTTCATGCTCGGGAGACAAACTCAATTTGAGAAACTGATGAAGATGTCGTCGGACCAGTCAAGAAGAAGTCCGTAAATGAACCTGGCCGTTTGGGTGTCACCAAGCTAAGGAATAGAACTACAACTAAGCTCTAGTTTTTTCCATCTTAGCTTCTTGTACCATCAGGTGACTAGTACACCAAGGAAAAAAACAATAACATCCCCATTAGCTTCTTGGTGAAGATAACCTTCCTTCCCTTGTGAGGAAAGAGAATCCTAGCGACTTCATGAGCTTGAAGAACTTATTAGGCAATCTTGACAGAATCAGGGTAGCGATTTCATGAGCTTGAAGAACTTATTAGGCAATCTTGCGGAATCAGAGTAGCTGCTAGGAAGAGCAAAGCCGTTCTGCTAAAGAGCAAGCTTTTCGATACTTGTGTTGCCTTGCTGAAGCATTGGAAGGCCCACGGGGGGATACAAGAATTCAGAATGCTCTGAGGTGAAGAGCAATTCTATTAGATTTAAACATCAGCTGGTAGTCTAAATATGAAAAATGAGAAAAAAAACTTCGGAAGAGTGAAAAAAACTAAATTACCATGTGCTTCCTCCAGGAATTGAACCACGCCTAATAAGCACCACCATCTCCTCTGTGCACCCTTTTCACCAAACCTGCATTCGAGTTCAACGAGCGGGGCCTTCCCTTTTCTCTTGGTCTGTTGCCCACGAAAATACAACCTCCTCACAACGCTCAATTGTTAAGACCTGGGGTTCCATCCTAAAAGATCAACTTGATAGGAGGAGTAGTCCAAAGTCTTATATAGTGTTTTATTGTTCTATAGCTTTCCGGTGTGGGACAAATGCTTTATCATGCCCCCTCAGCCCGAACCGGACTGGACAATATTGGGATGTATAAATGGGCCAAACAAACCCTTAACAAACTACCCTTAATCATGGGTAGCTAAACAAGCCGTCAAACCACAACCGGAATCGGCTCTGATACCATGTTAAGACCCGGGGTTCCATCCTAAAAGGTTAACCTGATAGGAGGAGTAGCTCAAAGCCTTATATAATGTTTCATTGTTCTATAGCTTTCCGGTGTGGGACAAATGCTTTAACATCAATATTGTCCACAATCGAGGACCCCTAGCTAGCTAGTTAAGCATGGTAATGTGCTACTATATTCTTCGCTCCTAGTTGTTTAACAGCCTGATGGTGGTTTGAACGCTCAATAGTTCGTTGTTAAGCTAGCCAATGGCGAAAATTGTCACAATCATTCGGGCATCACCTCCTCCGGTGACTTATGCAACAACTCATTACTTCGTCCCCACGATGCTTGATGGTGACCTTGACAATGTAGTACAACTTTCTTACAATGTGATTTGTCATTTGTGTCTTCTTCTCATCCAGATAAAGATGGACATCCATTTATATGTTTTAACTTTTAAGAAGTGTAATTACCCACTAAAACATACTCGGCTAAAGGGTCAAATAGGCCATTGAACTGACTTAAAGTGTTCAATTAGCCCCTTATGTAGGAGGTTCTGCCCGGCCGTCGCCAATTGGGGCAGTTCCTGGTGGAATGTTTTGATGAATTTTTTTTAGCATCTTCTTCATTAAGTCTAGTTTACCCATACCAAATTTTAGCTAAAAATTCAACCGGGAAGGCAGTCAAATGATTTTTTGAAGATAACTGCGAAGTTAAACAACGCAGTACATTTAGGAAAATCATTTGACTACCTTCCTGGTTGAATTTTCAGCTGAAATTTGGTATGGGTAAACTAGACTTAATGAAGAAGATGCTTACAAAATCATCAAAAAAATCCACCGGGAACCGCCCCAATTGGCGACGGCCGGGCAGAACCTCCTATATGAGGGACTAATTGAACACTTTAAGTCAGTTCAAGGGCCTATTTAACCTTTTAGCCAAACATACTCCCTACCTCTTTTCCCTGAAACATGCTCATTTTCTCTGAACAGGAATTCATCTCTAATCTTTCCCTAAATATGAAAAAAAATATCAATTTTCTATATCTAATACCTCTAACTTAATTAATATAATTAATTGCCCCTTAGTTATCTTAGAAAACTGAGTCAGTCCGTTGGTGGCAATTCAGTGCGTTAGTGGTGTGGTAGTCCGACTGCAGACTTTGGTGGCAGTCCAATCACAAAAAGAACTCATATTTTGGGAATTTAAAAAAATTACTCATATTTTGTCCTATTTATCTTGTTTTACCCCTATTATGGAAATTATCTCTTTGAAGAATGAATAAACTCAATCGGGGAATCAGTTTGTGTAGTGATAGCGAGTGTTAGATGGAATAAAGTCTAAAACGGACGAACTCAATACAAACATTTAGGGCCTGTTTACTAACAGAGATATTTTCCAGTTTTCCAGAAAACTGGAAAACAGAAAACAGGAAACGTGTTTACCAAAGAAATTGCTGGAAAACTGGAGAAAGGAAAAAAGAAAAACGCGTTTACCAAATCGTTTTCCAAAACTGAAAAAATGAGACATGTCTCTCTTTTCTTTAATGATTTGGAAAAGTGACTTTTACTAGTTTTCCAAATTTGGAAAACGCAGATGCTACAATGCCGCTGCAATGAATTTGCATACTTACACCTAGTGGTGAGTCCGGTCCCGCTCCGATGTCGATTCCATTCTGGTACCTCCATCCTCGTACCTTACTCCTTACCCCTACCTTACCCTACCCTACCTTACCCACCCAACCCCCACCCCCGCGTACCCATTTTTCCCTATAATGACCTTACCCCCACCCCCTACCACATGCCCCTACCTCGGCCCCACCCCGATCCACCCTACCCTACCGCCACCCCCGACCCACCCTACCCTAACCCCACCCGTATATTACCCCTTACCCCTTACCACATTCCCCCTACCTCGGCCCCACCCCACCGTCATCCTACCCCCACCCTCGTACCGCCATCCTACCCCCCACCACCATCTTACCCCCCACCCTACCCTTCCCCTACCTCGGCCCAACTCGGATCCCGGGCCCACCCTACCGCCATCCTATCCCAACTCCCTACCCTACCCCTACCTTACCCTAACCCCAACCCTACCCACTACCCCCACCCTTAACTGCCATCCTACCCCCCACCCTACCCCTTCCCTACCTCGGCCCCACCCTACCGCCATCCTACTTCTTTATTGAACAAAAGGGCGGCAACCGCAAAACTCTTTTCCAAGTGCTTGCATATTGCAAATTAGGAACTTGAGGAGCAATGGGTATCATGAAATGGACTTATTTCATTATTGTATGTCATAAACTTTCTTTCCCCTTTTCATGGGAATGGTCTAATTAGGCATGTGGGGAAAAGCAATAAAACAATTCCTATGTAAAATGCAAGAATTCAAGTGCCACATTTCCTATGTATTCTCGTATATATTCAAACACAGAAAGAATGAAGTAAATGGTCAATGGACTTGAGCTGAAACTGAAGTTATCATTAGTGTCATCTCTTTACACAGGGGAGATGAATGCCTTCTAGAAAGACCACTAAGTGTAGGAGGCAGATACTTCCAGTTTCCCGTAGGAGATAAGCTGCAAGATAGACTACGGTTAGGGGTTTTGTGAGACAAGTTAACTTCTCCTAAAGCATGGGACTGAAGCTGCGATTGGAAACTCCATTTGCAGGAGAATTGCTTTCCCATCTGATTTGAATTTGCTTCTTTGTGTGAGTTGATCCTGTGCAGAATTGAATCGTCAGGAACTTTTGTTGTTGCGGTTGTTATTTCTTCATCCTCATCATCAAAGGGGCAGTAGTTGTTTAACTCCTCTCTATCTTCTTCTTTCCGAAAAGTGACACTTTCTTCTTCTGCTGATTCATATTCATCTCTTGGCGATTCAGGTAGGACGGGGGTGTTTGGTTTCATGTTAACAGCAACACACTCATTCCTCAACCTCTCTGAGAAATCAACTTTGCAAGGAATTTCAAGAATAGGCCGCAGTCCACTATGACTCATCCATTCCGGCTGCTCTAGTGTTGCATATATCAATTCTTCTTCTTTTGACTCAACTTTTTCATCATTCTCTTCAATTTCTAAACCGCCATGTTCAAGAAGGTCATTATCTTCAGTGGAGTTGTTTGTGGAGTATACGCTGCTTTTCTTGCCAATGAATTCTTCTTCATCAGTACATTCAAGCTTAACGTGTGTGAGATCAATGTTGTTCTCTTTAAGGAAGGAGATGAAATCTTGAAAATTTTCGGGGGTGGGGCGGTAATGTCCACTGTGTGGCCAAACAGCCTGTATGAATATTGATTATTGAAGGATGTTTGTTCATTAGAATAAGACTATCAGACGACTGAACTTGATGCCTTGATCGATCAACTAAATAATAACTCAGCATGCAGTTTTGATTGCATGATGCGTGTAAACCATTAATATGAATATACATACCTTCAAGATTCCATTGTGGACAACTATCCTCCGAGCGGCCAGTGTAGCCCCACCGGCCAAGAAACTGGAATGTTGAAACAGGCCTTTCGTTTTCTTACCAACATATAGTGTTCTGGAGGCACTTAGAACAAAGATCCACTTCACAGCGCCTTTTAAATAACTACTACTTGTGTCAAGAACTTCCCCGTTTTGCTTGTACATGAACTTCCCCCCTTTCACCTCAATTTCATATGATTTCCGTTCCATCTGTGCGTACGTCGAGGTGTTTTCAGTTAGGCACGAAGTGTTTTAATACATTGTATCGATAAAAATACACGCACTTTAATTAGTAGCGGGTTTGGTATGCACGCACAATGAGATCAATTGACATGCAGACAACCGATACGATGAACCCCAAATATGGGCCAAAAAGGTTATGTTAGTGGCAGATCTACATCAAGTCATGGTGGTATGAAGCCGTGGCCGAACCAGTTTTTTAGTGTAAATTTGTTCGTTTTTCTAATTTAACGAATGAGCTCTGTATTGTTTTAAACCTAGTAGTAGTATAGTATCCAAATGCACAGATTCGCCTGTGATAGTACCTTGCATATCTAGCTTTGATATGAATAGATAGATTGCTTTTTAGATCTACCATCCAAATTAAATAGATTGGGTGGAGTGAGTGAAGCAAAATAATATAGTGTACCAAGCAGGCCAGGCCAGGCCAATATATATGATATGAAGTCAAAATGAAAAGTATGGGGCGGATGGATGGTACGTACTGGTCCAAGGTACTTGATGCACTGCTGCTGAAGTTTCCCCCGAGCGCACTTATCCACAATGTTAAGTTCCTTCCCCTCACCCACATCTAACCAGTAGAAGAAGGGCTCATTGCTTTGCGAATGCAACCAATGCACATAGTAGAAGTGAAGGTTGTGTCCATAACGATGTTTCGGATCGATCTGCATGTTTTAATCACACGCAAACAATATAATGATTGAGCTGAGGATGAAAGGTAGAGTACGCACGCATGCACGCGATATTACGAAGTGTAGGTAACCCCAACAGCTAGCAGCTAACTAGTAGTTGAGTAGGGAGGCTTACGTACAGCTTCAAGCCAGTGCTGCATTGACAGCTTTTGAGCTTTCCCATTCTTTGATAAGCCTTTACCAACCTGCACCACGATCTCACTAATTTTTACATTACATATAAATACACACACCATATATCACCCTTCCAATTTCAACTTTACTAACTACTCACTCACAATTTTAATCACACTTCCAATTAGTTACTTATTAGTAAAAACGATTCAAAGAAGAGTACGTCAAATGTTGCAATTACTAAAGAAGAGGGTAAGTATGTAATAGGGGCGCAGTTGAGAGGCTTGTTCACATCATTATTACAGTTGAGAGGCTTGTTCCAAAAATATGATAACCTTCATACTCCACTCACTCTTTATTTCCCACTTTTTCCCTTATCTATCATTTCACCCTTTACTTTTTGTGACTCACCTTACTTCTCACTTTGGAAAGTTGGAATCGTAAAACAACCACTTTATCCATTATTTTTTTTAAGACCCGCAAAAAATCCACAAGTATGAGACCGAGGTAGTAACATATACCTTGGCAGCTCTGGTTCGGGCTCTAGACCAGCGAGAAGTTGGGGACTCGTGTTTGTGGAGATGGAAAAAGGAGATGGAGCTATGCTTCAGCTGTGCAAAGTCCAATAGCACCTTCCACCACCTATGCTCTATCACCACCACCTTTCTCCTGTTCTTCTTATTATACACTACTAACTTTTCCCTACCTCCTGTCATACCTTGCTTACTCCCTATGATCGACAACCAAGATTGCTAAAACTTACAGCTAAAAATAAAATAATCTCTAGCTTCATTATGTATATGTGTGTGAAAAATTGAAAATTACATAACTACGACTAATGACATGACAAAAGTGAAACAGAGTACTTCAATGTTCAATGTTCCGTATGTGTAAAAAGAAATCACACTTATTAATGAAAATTCTTTATCAATATATTTTATTAATAAAATAAATTTTAAATGTAATTTTTACATAATTCAACCTATTCGGCGCCCAGAATATCATCAATTTCAATTTCGGTACATTCATTCAATTTCATAGTTATCAACAGGACTCTAAATTATCGAAAATAAAATATTCTTTGTGGATGTATCTTTTAAGCAATTTGTAAAAAAGGAAATGAAAGGGATGAGCAATAATGTTGGAAAAATGGTTCTACAAATTAATGTTATTACGGTCATTAATATTATTTGTAGTAAATCATTTTGAAATGAATGAGAAATTATTTCCCGAAAAATAAATGTGAAATTATATATCACACGCAAACACCGTCGCCGCCGTCCAGTCGGTCGGGCCGGGTTTCGGGTTAGAGCCTTAAACCGTCCACCCGAGTATATGGCTTAAAGATAATTCTATCAGTCCTTAATTTTGGACAATGTTTGGCAATAGACACATCCTTTGTTTTTAGAAGGAGAGTCACAACTTTTCCTTTTAAAGGTGTCTTTTGGGTGTAGAGACTCCTGCCCGGAGCTCTATACATACCCATGACTGCCTGCATTTTCAACCATCCAAAAATTCACATGCAATCGTCCATATTCTCTCTTTCTTCGTTGCATCTTTGAGTTTGCCGGAATCCCATTGGGAGCGAAGAACCGTTTTATCCTGGGAGACGCTTGCTACGTGTGTCGGACAAAAACGTCTTAAGAAGACAACGCTTTTGTTGGGCTCGGTTGATTCAAGTATTTTCTTTTACTTCTATTTATTTAATTATTGGTTGCTGATTTACATGAATTTTGCATAACAAATAATTTACCTTGGTGATCGAAGAATGCCTTGGGAACCAACCAATGGAATGAAATGAATGCACGGCACACTAGCAGGCAGCTACTCTCTGCGTGGGTTCCTTGAAAGTGCACTTTTAGAGTATGCGTGGTGGATTAGGATGGGCAGATGTGTATCTGTGTGTGTGTATATATATAGAGAGACAAGGTGGTTGACGGCCACAGAAAGTCAGAGGGCAGTTGAGTGTGCTGCCGTGGTGGGTGCAGACAGAAGGGGTGGACGGCAAGACAAAAAGGGGAGTGACACTTCTTCCGACGCTTTCGTCAAAACTTTGCTTTCACACGCACCGTTTCTTTGTTCACCTCACCATGTCAACCAAAATTCACACACTTTTGTTGTGTACACATTTTTACACATATAAATTCTTTTTTTTGTCTTGATACAAACAAAAAGTATTTGGAATTTCGAAATATGTTTTGTCTGTATACGGGCAAAAGAAATCCCTACACGCACATGTTTAAAAGTGTGTATACCAAAAAGTGTGTACACCAAAAAGTGTGTACCCAAATCCAACTCTCATCTCAAACTCACTTTATTTTGGGTTTTGTATCACTACATTTTAACACCGGCACTACGTAGAACAAAACTTAGTAAAATATATACCACTCGCACTTTCTCTACAATAAGTTTGGGCACAACATTTAATCGTAACGGTGGAATAATAGGAGTCATAAATATTGTAGAAAAAGTAAGACAGAAAGTAGAAAAGAAGAACCGGCCCTAACAATTTATAGGTCCGGAACAAATGACAGAAAAGTAGACCATAATTATATACTATGTATATAATAATAATATATTACAAAAGTTTCATTGTCATAAATAAAATACCTTACACAAGTCAATGTTTCTATACATAACAATGTGTGGTATCATAACTCACAAGCCATACAAAATATTTTTTTTGGGCATTCACAGAAACAAAATTGTCAATGATAAAATCAATTTATAATTCTCGACTTCCATGAGGAAGGTAGAAAGTCATCCACTCATCCGCTTGTTTTTCAAGTGTAGCTCTACCGTTGTGGCTCAATCTATAGACAAGTCCCATATAGACAAGTCCGTTTGAGGGGTTCTCATGTCAAATTTTTTGATAAATTTTTGTGAGGATGTTCTTCAAATTCAATTGGGAATTTAGTTAAAAATTATTGAAAAATATTGCGCTTTTTATACATATATAAAGTGCAGTGTTTTTAAATAATTTATTTAACAGACTTTCCGATTTAATTTTTAATTGAAATTGTGTGGACACAATAAACTTTATGAAAAATATGCTCGCAAAATCTAATCAAATAATTCTATTCCAAAGCACCTAAAATGGGTTTGGCCATACAGAACTGTCGATCAAGCGCGTCTGAGATGAACGTGACTCAACATATATACTACATGATTTGTGGGCCCCTCTTTCTGGTGGGCCCTGGGCAGCCGCCCAGGCTGCCCCTATACTGGGACCGGCTCTATAGGAAAGTACGGAAGAGAATATAAAAAGTAAAAGAAACAAGGGTAATTGAAATGTTTTTACAAAAAAAACTTACCAAAAAGGAAAAAGTGTAGCAAACTTTTAAATACATCCAAAAAGGAAAGTGTAGCCAACTTTAAAATACGTAGGGAGTATCGCCTTGTTTATTTACATTAATAATAACATTATTTTGAAAATCATTGAAAAGAAAATATCGTTAATCTATTTAAAAAGGTAAATTAGGAAGACAGAGAGCTAGGGTCTACTTACTGATAAAGACATTTTTCAATTTCCTTTTTGTTTTCCATTTCCAATTTTCTGTTTTAATTTTCCAGTTTTTCTGTCTCCAATTTTATATTTTTGTTTTCGAGTTTTTCATTTTCAAATCTAAAAACATATATGTTCATCAGATATTTTCATCTGGTTCCGTGACCGGCCAGAAAGTATGGTCCCGGTCCGGAACCGGACCTAGTACAACCCAAGTAGGATACCTAATCCCAGGTATACGAAAGTTAGGATGGAAATCGGTCGGTCTCAGTCGCTCGCAATGGCTAGTTTGACTAAAACTTTTCTTTTTCCCCTATTGGTTGACAACCCAACGACTCTATTGAAACTATATACATTGAAAAAAAGATTTTAAAAAATGGGGAACGAACCCCCGAATCGTTGACTGGACCAAATAAAAACCGTCGAATTGTTGATTAGATCGGCTGGGAAGCGCCTGGTCGTCGGCTGGATCGTATAGGGACCACCAGGCCGTCGACCAGACGGAAAAACTGCCGCGGCATTGATCACAGCAGATAGGAACCGCCAGATCGTTGACTGGACCGAACAGGGACCGCCGAGTCGTTGACCAAATCGAACAAGGACTGTCAGGTCATCGACTAGACCGGACAGACGACGTCGGGTCTTTGGCCGGACTGGACCGTTGGGTCGTTGACCAGATCAAATAGGGATTACGGGTCATTCACCGGATCGGACCGAAATTGAGAACGAAGCGGGTCCAGGTCCACCACTAGGCATAAGTATGCAAATGCATTGAAACAACATTGCAACATCCGTGTATTTCATATTTGGAAAACTAATAAAATTCATTTTTCTAATTCATTCTAACAACATTGCAACATCTCATTTTTTTGTTTTGGTAAATGCATTTTCCTGTTTTTCTTTCTCTAGCTTTCTAGCAATTTTTTTCGGTAATCATGTTTTCTGTTTTCCCTTTTCCAGATTTTTAGTTTTCTGTAAAACTGAAAAATATCTTTGTTAGTAAATATATAAAAATATAAATATTATAATGAGTGGGCAAACTATAACTTTTGAAAGACTTTTTTATAAGCATAATTAATAACTTGTTTATCATTCTCATCACTAAATATTTTCAAACATTTATGATTTGTAACTATTAACACTGCGATGTAAAATTAGAAATGACTAAAGTTGGGCTTTTTAGCAAGAGGCTAACATGTGATAAAAATAAGAGATATTTTTGTAATGGGTTGATATTGTGGTGTAAGATTAACTCATTCAAATTTCAATAACTTGAGAAGGATGCTGATTTTTCTCAACATTACGATCAACATTTTGTGTCCAATACGAAATGAAAATTATAAATACATTTTTCATTTTAATATGATTTGACCTCCTCTCTTGAGGAAAAATCGGTCTTCTCCCTAGGGTTTGCGCCGCTAGGGTCGTTTTTCCGATTTCGATCTTTCTAGATCGAAGATCGGTTTTGTTTTTCTTGGTTTCTGGTTTCGTTCGCGGAAGAGAGGAGAGGAGAGATCGAAGGATTTGGGCATGGAAACCGAAGGAGCTCGACTGCAGATAAAGATGACTGCAGTCGGTAAGCAAGGGATTGAAGGACAATTTCACGCAGATAAGGAGAGCCGAGCAGTGCAAGATACAAACAAATTGGTAATTGTTGATGCTGACGACGAGGCGGTCGAGTTGGAGGTAAACCGCTTTGATGCAATAACAATCGTCGCAAGAGTCCGGCCTCCTCCAGAACCACCGCCAAGGGTTGATCGACGCGGTTTGGAGTTTGATTATTTATTATTTCTGCATTTTAATTTCTAGGTTAAGTCGTTTGTGTGTTGTTTTATTTTATGCTGTAAGACTCTTGCATTAGGTTTGGGGGATGGAAAGTTTGCGGTAACCGTCATTGGCTTTAAGTTGCCCAATTTTGGTCTAGCGAGTTATACTGCTTTTTTACAAGTGGTTAACTCTCAGTCTCGGCTACGGGCGGATGGTTGCATGTGGTTCTTTTCTGTTTTTGTACCCTTGCTGAATGCTATTTCTATGAATTAAGCCCTTTTCGAGCAAATTTTTTTTTTAATATGGTTTGACATAAAGAGAAAAGGTATAATAGGAACCACAAATTGATTAGAAAATCTCTTTCCTGGGGTTTCTATGGGTGGCGTTTTTCGGTGGGTCTTGTAGTCTACGGTCGGCTGCTCTATTGGAGTTATGAGTGTTATCAGCTCGAATTGTCGAGGATTGGGAAACCTAGTGACGGTCCAAGTACTCTCTGACATCGTTACAACTCATAAGCCTAGCATCGTGTTCCTTATGAAGACAAAGGTGGACGGAACAAAAGTAGGTGTTTGTGATGCGTTCGGTGGGTATGAAGGATTTCGTCATGCAAGAAGGATTGGGTTGGCGAGGTGGTATGGTACTCAATTGGCAGGGGGCATCTAACCGGAGGTCATTAACTCGTGTGATTCTTTCGTCAATGCGAGAGTACTTCTCAACTCAGGCGGCCATCAATGGCGGCTCATTGAGTATTATGGCCATCCTGAAAGCAGCAAACGTCGTGGATCCTGGGCGTTAATTCGAAATTTGACAGCAACAAGCAATTCAGCTTTGTGGCTGACTGTAACACTTGAGATTTAATATAAACGGATTAATAGTACTACTCATACCAACAGAGGTGCATCTCCTTTTAAGGGAGCTCATCACCCAAGAACTCCAAAGTTAAGCGTGCTTGCATGGGAGTAGTCTTGGGATGGGTGACCCCCTGGGAAGTTTCTCAGGGCGCGCATGAGTGAGGACAAAGTGCGCGGTAAAGGCTTGTGGTGGTTTATGGGGACAGCACTATTGGTCCGGAGTAACTACCTCGGGTCCGGTGGGGCCGGGGTGTTACACTGATGATCGACGACTTCAATGATATTATGGCGGCAAGGAGAAAAGGGGGTAGATCCCACATCCGCCATGGGGGCTAAGGGGATTCCGGGAGGCTGTTCGGGAGGGGTTAAGGGATTTCCTTTTACTAGTCACCAATTGACCTGGGAGAGAGGAAGAGGCACGTTGGCGTGAGTGGAGGAGAAGCTGGACAAAGTCCTGGTCAATGAAGAGTGGCTCAAGATTTCTGGGACCGTAAAAGCATCTTCTTTGGAAGCGCCTGTTAGAGTTTATATGGCTCTCTAGGTACAGAATGCAAGAAAACCTACATATATATAACGAACCTTTTAATTTTGGGAATGTCTGGCTAAGGGAGGAGGGATGCCGTCACATAGTCAGTAATAGTTGGAGGGCAGGGTTGTGCCTTACTACTTATGATAAAATAGAACTATGTGGCAAAAAATTATACATGTGGGGTAATCGAAGGCAGATGGACTTTCAGTCACACATTGAA